TGAACCTCGTTACGCCGCGCCAGGATGAACGGCGGATAGAGGTGATCGCCAATGGACTTCCTCTTTGGGGGGGCGCGCAGCTTGCTGCCTGGCCGGTGTCGCCTGTGCGTGCTCGCCCTTGAGGTAGGCATTTTTTTTTTCCACTGCCGTTGCGGGTCTCTCAACTCCGGGGCATGTGGCACGTGTACGTCTGAGCCGCGGGCAGATGTTTGACAGACCTCCAATGCGCCTGGTTGCTCCTGCACATGTGCGCGTCCCCGCGGGCAAACCACGCCATCCGCACTATGCCTCCATCCCAGTCCGCCGCTTACGCCAATGCCCATGATGAGGCTATGTGGACGACTTTGCAGGCATGTCTGGGAGGGGTTCCGGCGCAGGAAGCCGCGCATGCCTGGGAAATAACCACACTTCCGGCGGCGCACGGGGGCCTTGGATTGCAGTCGGCTGCACGGACGGCTGCTGCCGCTTACTGAGCCGCATGGGCCGATGCACTCCCCGTCATCCAAACGCGACTCCCGGAGTGGGCTAACCGCTACCTCCGAGAGCTGGGACGAGGAGAAGACGCTGCCCCATGCTTCTGCGAGGCGGATGAGGCCCGCAAGCTCTTGATAGACGAAGGGTGGAACAACTGCCCCACTTGGGAAGCCATCCTGGAAGGCGAGCGGCCCGCCCGCCCGACAGACGCAGGCCCGGGGGACTGGCCGCACGGCTGGCAATTTCACGCGACGCGGACTCGCAACCTACACTTTCGCAGTCGCGTGCTATTGCCGGCCATGCCCCCAAGCTCCCGAGCCATGCTCCGCTCCCAGGCTGGGCCGCACGCGGGGGCCTGGCTTTCAGCCATACCAGGCGAGCCAAGCACGACCTTGACTCCCCAGGCCATGCTCCTGGCTTTGCGCCGTCGCTTGCGGCTACCCCTGGGCGTGGCTCCGCGTGGCTAGGGAAGCAGTCGGACCCGAAGGCCAAGTCGTGCAATGGCTCGCCCACACGACGGCCCCAGGAGTACGCCCAGATGACCGTAGGCGCCTGGACATGGTCGTTTACGGAGCGACAACCAACGGGGGAGCGCTCTGCTGCGACGCCACGCTTGTTGTCGCCGCTGACCCGCGCAGGTCACCCACAGCCGCGCGGGGATACAGACGACGGCGCGGCGCTACAGGTCGCGGAGCGCCGCAAGCAGACGGCTTACCCCGAACTCACATGTGGCGGGCCACAGCGCCTGGTCGTGCTGGGAGCAGAGGTTGGCGGGCGATGGAACGCGCAGGCGCTCCGCTTCCTGCGGGATCTCGTCCACCTCCGCGCGCAACGCGCGCCGCCAGCTGTTCGCGCTGCGGCTGCGGGCGGCTGGTCCAGGGCGATGGCAAGGCATCATCCCCATCGCAGTCCAGCAGGCCGTCGCGGGCACGGCCCTCGGACGCGCGTGGCCAGCCCAGCCGCAAGCGGGACCGGGAGCCGGGCCCAGCCTGGAAAGAGTCCTGAACCTCGCCGGGGGCGCTGGGGCGAGTCGGCGGCCGATGCGGCCGTAGGAGCTTGAAGGCATGGACATCACAGGCAGCTGGCAAAAGGCGCGAAAAAAAATGTTTGACAAGATCCTGGCGTCTTCGTCCTTCCAAATGCGGTAATGGGCCGTGAGAAAGGATGCCGTGATAGTACACGGTCAGGGACCTACGCCTGCTGGGGAGGCGGGAGTAGGCGCATTCAACGCCAGTCAGCATGTGCAGTGCACTGCGACGAATCTTCAGCACAAACCCGTGGAAGGGAGCCCGAGTTTGTCCGCCAGCTTGCACGCCCGCGCTCCATCTCCGCCTACGTGCAGCGTTGGTTTGTTTTGCTCTCCTTCGCAGCCACGCGAGCCTTCTGTGCAAGCCTGCGCTCCCTGCCCCTCCACGGCACCTCCAACATCGATGGCGACATCCCGCTTTTCAGTGATGTCCTCACCGACTCCTCGGTCGCGCCCCCCCCTTGCCAGCCGTCTGCCGTAGCTCATCCTGAGATCGGCGACGCAACTTGCATTGGGACCACGGACAGGCAGATGCAAGGAGATCGCGAGCGAAAAAAAAAAAAAACGGAGATGCTCGTTCGTCATGCCCGACGGGCCTGGGACGTGACATGGCTCCGCGGGGACATGGTGGAGTACCTCCGGAGTTGGGGGCGGCGGTCGGGGTCCCGGAGTTAAGGCTTGCGAGCCTTGCCGTTGCGCTACACTGGGACCGCCTTGACCAGCAGAAAAAGGTGCGAGGGGTAAAAAAACAACTCAGCGAGCGTAACATCGTTGCCTGCGGCAAGCGGCTCAGCCGTGAGGGCCCGACTCGCGGCAGAGAGCTCTCCGAGGTGGACAAGCGCGGTGGCGCGCGCAGCCCGGCGTTCGAGGTCAGCCCCTTCAGCGGGAGCGTGCGGAACAGGCCGCGTGGAAGTGGAGGAGCATGCAGCTCGCAGGAGTGAGGGCCATTCGCCTCTGCGGAATGCACCAGCACGCCGCTCAAGCTCAGTGCGCTCGATACGCGATTGGCCCGGCTCGCGGTGCGGGAGCATGCGCGGTGCCAGGAAGAACAGCTTCCACTGTTGCAGGTGATGGGCCGGACGATGTTGCACGCGAGTGCGAATCTGAGGACGCCTCTGAGCTGAGTGGGGGCGTTTGCAGCGTGAGTGCCCGGCGACGCAGCTCAACGGCGAGATCCACATCGTCGAGTTGCTGGAGGCCGAGGCGCGCGTTCCTCGGCTCGCGTCGGGGCCGCAGGGGCAGCAGTCGCTGCAGATGCGCCGTTTGGGGCTGCGGTCGGCGCGGGAACCCTGCAGCTGCGCCCGGCTCCGCGGCCGCGACGCCCGCCACCACGCCCGTGCCGTTGCTGGGCAGCGCCGGGGGCGCGCTCCGAAACAGCGGCAGCGACCTCGTCGGCATGCAAATGCTCCGATCCACTGGACTCCTCGTCACCGTCAGGGGGCTGCGTGGCGCGGTCGGCCCTAGGAAGCGCGGGGCGGACGCCGTCAAAATGGCGATCAAGGGCTGACGCTAAAGCATGGCCCCCGTAGTACTGGAGCAAGGCCTCCGATATACCGGGGCCAACAGGAAACCCCATCCGACGTGGACGGGCCTGCGCTGGACAGGGCCGGTGAGGGTGCGCACGGCAATCGGCTCGCAGGCCGCAAGCATGCGCCGCATGCTCCCACCAATCGGCAAAACGCGGGTCAGCCCGCCAGGCGGGGGGCGGGCCGAAAGGGTGCTGGAACGACGGGGTTCACAGCTTCTGAGGAGGCATCGCACGGGGCGGGTGGCTGCGGGGCCGTGTGGGGACCACAACATCCTGCGTGCAGCGCCACGTGGCCCGCCCACGACACGGTCGAACTCCCACAGCGACTGGGCTCCGCAATGGTGACACGGGCTTCCAGCTTCTGCGGGCACCTGAAGTGCACGCCAGCTCTTACATGTTGTTCGGCTCGCGTCGGGGCCGCAGGGGCAGCATCGGTCGCCACGGATGGGGCAATTCGGGGAGCGCCCCGCCCATGCCTCGTCGGCACGCCGATTCACTGGACTCCTCGTCACTGCCAGTCGGGCAGGCCCTGGGAGAGCCACAGGGTGCAGCTTGTGAGGAGGCATCGCACGGGGTGCTGGTTGGAGACCTGTTGAAAAAGCAAGGGCCCCAAACCTGGCCACCACGGCCCCACGAGAGCAACTGACCCTTGAGCCAAAATGGGCGTGCAGGATGTGGTCCCGGCCAGGACCAAGTGACTATGCCGGCATCTCCTGACCCTGCTGTCACATCAGTTTTTTGTTCCTCATCCGCGAAGACCCTCCGCGTGTCACCCGGGTGTGAGCTCGCAAAGGGGACAAGTACGTGGCGGTTGTTTCAAAGTACTTACTTAAACGTTCTCCACATATTTTCAGGCATGTCATGCGAACCATCGACGATCGTGGACCTTTTCAACAGGGTCTTATCTTGAGAGAACATTGCCTGAACACGATGTATTGCTTGTACCTGTTTTGTGGCAGCAGTGTTCAAAGCACTGAGTAAGGGTCGTTGTTTTGCGCAGCCAGTTTCAGCCCGTAGAGTCTCGAGCTCCAATGGGGAGATTTTTGGTACCTGGCAGTTGACTTGGCAGACTTGGCCAAGCCATGAAGATCAGTGCTTTGCGCGCGGCAATGCAGAAGGACCGGTGTTGGCCAACAGGAAAGTCCGCAGAACGGATTCCCAGAAGCTTCCCTGCTAGGCAGCTTAAAAGGCCTTAGTGTGATGTGCATTCCCCTGATTCTGTGACGTTGTTCTTTCTGTCCGCCTCCCGCAAAGGGTCTCTCTGCTATGAGAATGCCCACCAAGAAGCCTCAGAGCTGTCAGCGACCGTTCACCAATATTGCTCCAGTACCTGCTGGGGCATGGGAAGGCGCGGTGAGCAACAGCGATATGCAGAGAGAGAGGGAGGGAATGACTGGCCGGCGACAAAGAGGAGAAGGAGAAGAAGAAGGAGAAGGAGAACAAGGGAGAAGAAAGTGAAGAAGGAGAAGAAGGAGAAGGAGGAAAAGTAGAAAAACACAACAAAAAATGGGAGAGAGACGATTGACAGTCAAACATCGACGCAGCAGTAAGCCTTTTCAGGTGTAGAAATGGGATTATGGGGGGGGCTCCCAAGACAAGGCCCCCAGACTCTGTTTGGCTTTGGCATTCGCTTGGTTGCATTTCCATGTGTTTTCCTGAGCATCAAGTCCGGTTCAAAAATGTGTTTTCCTGAGTGTCTGGGCTTTACGCGTGTTCTTTTGGCTCCTGTCCTCAGCCACCGTACGTGGATGCCAGAGAGACGATAAGCACACCGTAATACACCGTACAGAACGGGGGGGAGTTCCACATCACGGGTGAGAGGGGGAGAAGTGCTTGTACCATTTTGTACCAGGTTGAGCACAGAGCATATGCAGAGCAAGCAGAAGCTGGATACAATGGAAACATGGGCATGCAGATGCTCCAGAGAGGCAATTCCACAAAGAGCTGTCCGGCTGCTGGGCAAACAAGTCGATGCGGTCGCCCACGTCCTTTCTCTGCGATCGGCAGATGCAAGCTTTTGATGGGCGGCAGTTGGCCGCGGACTTTGACACGGAAGACCTTGGGGAGCTTGTAAACGTCGTGCACCACGGCCGAGCTGCCCACAAACACTTCACGCTGAGGCAGGAACCACCGACAAGGCAGGTGAGCAAACACCCTGACCTTAGTTCCTGCCCCTGCGCATTGCACTTCCGGAAAGTCCAGACGGCTTGCAACCGGCAATTTCAGGGAATTGAAACACTCACTTTGCGAATGTACATGCTGAAGAACCTTCAGTGGTAGCATCTCAGAGCGTGGCACAGCGCCGCCTACGCAGAGAGAGGCTCAAAGGGCAGCTGCTGCAGTCGGGCCAACCAACACTGCCAAACAGCACAACAGCCGCCAGTTCTGGGTCCGCTTTGGCTCCGTGGCTGGGACATCGGGGGCTCCTGCGCGTTGTTTGTTGTAATAGCCGCGGTTTCGCCTGTTCGTATTGTCCACGGGACGGAAGCCGGAAGAGATCCTTTTTGAGAAATGAGAGGGAGACAAACTGCGATAAAGGGAGAAGGTTTGCTTTGGGGAGTGGATTGGTGATACATGCAAAGAAGGAGTCCCGTGCATGTGTTTCTTCGAGCCCTTCCTCTTAATTTCCTCTGCAGCCTCTGCAGATGTTGATGACGACACTTCAACTTCCACCATGGGTTTGGCCCACCTTGCGCTGCCAAAGGTGATGACCTCAGAAAGTTGGGCACAGGGCGATTTCACCTCGCACATGCCAGTAGGGCCCTTTTGTCCAGCTGGTAAAAGGTTCCGGCAAGCCCAGGAGTCATCACGATCAAGGGCCCTGGAGCGCACACCATCGAAGGACGATGTTTTCAAGGGACGCATCCATCTTCCAGGCGCTGGTCTTTGTAGAAATCTGTCGAATGGAGATAGTAGAAAGCCCTAAAGTATGAGTCCATGTTCGTGAGATATCGGTGTGCGGAAGCCACGAGGTGGCCCGGAAGAAGATGAGGCAGGGCATCACATGACGGTTCACCTGTCGGACGCTCTTGCTTGGCCATATGCCGATTGTCTAACATTCAGGACCCGGTCAGAGAGCGAGAATGTCTGATCAGACGGGTGAACTGCTTGGAAGAGCACGAGTTTGAAGTACTGCGACATCGGGCGCTTCACACCGTTGCTTGGGATGCGACGATGGCGCCTGAGAAGAAGCTGACTACAACGCGTCGTGGAAGCTCCTCGGCTCCGGCTTTGGTTACCGTTGCAGTCCCGGATGAAGAGTGCAGTGGCCAGGACATAAGTCATGTGCCTGAGCCTTAGATCCGAGGTGTGGAGGTTTGCCGGCAATGGGGAGTGTTGTCAAGTGAAGAGCGTTGATGCTGTTGCGTGGAGAACTCTGCTGAGCCAGGCATTTCCGCGTTCCCAGTTTTAGAAAGTTATAGTTCTGCAAAGAGGCTGGCATGCTGGCAGACGCTCCAAAGCAGCATGTGGCACTGACGTACCTTGAAGGCATCACCTGACAATTCCTTGGCACTTGTCGTACAATGGTTATTTTGGAGCCAGCATGTCGAGACGCAAAGGATTGCGTGCGTTTCGACCAGCATTGCGTTGCTTTGATTTTCCTAGCTGGTCTACCGAACACGGCCACGAAAGCATCTTGCCTTCCTTCGAGCTTTTAGCTCTGTTGCATAAATCTCTTGTCACAATTCCTCCCGGCCCGAGTCCCCCCCCCCCCCCTTGGAATGCACATGCTAGTTGATGCTAAAGCAGGGGAGCCTTTCCCCTGACATGTCAGTCGCAGCATTGCATACGTCTGCAGGGTCGTGTTTGTTTTGTCATCAGGCCGACTGGCCTCAGCTGAGGTCCTCTCTGGGTACCGATGTTTTCACCTCCAACCCCAGTTCAAACCTACAAGCCCGCATGTGCGAAGACAATAGCGAGTCGGCCAGCTTCCGTGGCACCCGATCACAGAGTTTTGAGTTGTTCCGACCGCATCAGACGGTGCCAACTGTCCTTTCCATAATCCCAATGCGATTTGCTTTGGACAGACATACGGCATTCTGTTTCCGGATAAGGAAATGCATCTCCAGCAGCTGATGAAACGAGTGCGGGTAATGACTGTGCTACTTTGGAGGTTCATCCTTATCCGCTTGCGGTCATGTGGTGTAATGTGGGACACGCAATGAGTGTCCGTGGTGTTTTGTGTAGCACATGCTATTCGCCCAATAAGTCTTTTGCCTTGGGAACTCTTTATGACTGAGTTCGTTGCTTGTGAACTGGATGCAGCTGCAGATGCTAGAAGCACTGGCAGCTCACAAGTAAACTGCTTCAGCAATGGGCCACCATGGCTATGCCAGCAGTTCGCCTTCTGGACTTCGCCATTGACCGGCGGCGTGCGGTGAAGAGAAACCTCGGGCAAAACAGCTTCCAAGGCAGAGCAATGCAAAGAACATTCCGACGGCCGTCCCGTAATTGTTCTCGCAATCCCTCGCAGACCAGTCATGAGTTTTTAGAGGCACCAGCGATGCAAGACGTTGTTGTTGTATGGAGATGAGGGAGACGCTGCCGCTGGTGCTGGTGCTGGTGAGGATGCGAATGAACGTAGGTTGAGTTGAGGGTTGGGTCCAGTGCTCCCCATCCTGAAGGCAAGTTTACATGGGCTTGGGGAGGCAGGTCTTCGTCGGCTGGGATCCCCTTCCCTCCCCTCCTGGTCCCCGGCTGTCGTACAATGGTTATTTTGGAGCCAGCATGTCGAGGCGCAAAGGATTGCGTGCGTTTCGACCAGCATTGCGTTGCTTGAATTTTCCTAACTGGTCTACCGAACACGGCCGCGAAAGCATCTTGCTCTCCTTCGGGCGTTTAGTGCCGTTGCAAAAATCTCTGTCCCGAACATCCTGTTCTAGTGTTTGCACACTTTGTCTGTTGTTCCCGCGCCGCCCTCAGAAGCAGGAGCCGGGTGGGGCTCACAAGTAGCAGTCGGCCCTCGAGAACCTTTTTTTAGCTCAGGCCCATGGCAGAGGCTAAATTCTAAGCTGGACATCAACTTCCTCAAGCACAAGCCCCAGATATGCAACAAAGGTGTCGAGGGTCGAGCCCCCGGCTGTTGATGAGTTGCATGACAGAAACGTGTGGACCCCATGTACCAACACACAGACACACACAGAGACACACACAGACACACACAGACACACACACAGACACACACAGAGACACACGCAGACACACACGCAGACACACACACGCAGACACACACGCAGACACACACACACGCAGACACACACGCAGACACACACGCAGACACACACGCAGACACGCACGCAGACACGCACGCAGACACAGACGCAGACACAGACGCAGAAGGCGTCTCTGCGAGACGGAGCTTGGAGCTGCCTTGCCTGTGAGAGAGAGAGAGAGAGAGACACACACACACACACACACACGCACGCACACAGACACAGACACAGACACAGACACAGACACAGACACAGACACAGACACCGACACCGACACAGACACAGACACAGACACAGACACAGACACAGACACACACACAGACACAGACACAGACCCCCACACTCCCACACTCCCACACTCCCACACTCCCACACCCCCACACCCCCACACCCCCACACCCCCACACCCCCACACCCCCACACCCCCACACCCCCACACCCCCACACCCCCACACCCCCACACCCCCCCACCCCCACACCTAAGATGAAGGAAACAGCCTGTTTCAGTTCAAGTGACATGTCTTGACGAATTTAGCTTGAGGGAATGTAGGCCTTTTGTTTCGCAGACCCCTCCCAAAGACTTCGGCTTGACTCGTTGGCGTGCAAAAGTGCGGATTCGACGGTTTGCGACAACTCGTGCCAAAGCGATTTGGCGGGCTGCATTGTCGGTCGATTCTCTGGCTGTGCTCGTTGCGCGCTGGTGGGGTTGTGGCGAGCGGCGAGATTGGGCGTTTCTCGGCGTTGACCGGCTCTGATGGGCTTTGACGGGCTTTGCTCCCTGATCGAAGGGGGAAAGAGAAACCCGCCCTCAACCTAAACCCCAAACCCGAACCCCACCAATGAACCACAGGGGGGAGAAGGGTAAACCCGAAACCTTATATAACCGCTTTAACCCTGACCCGTAAACCCAGCACGAACCACAGGGGGAAGGGGGAAACCATAAACCTACCATTTCCCCAAACCTTGAACGCTAAACTCTAAACCCAATGGACCAAGGGGGTCAGAGTGAAACTCCTGAACTTTACAGCCTAGCCTAACCCTAAACTCTGGACCCATGAACCACAGACCATGAACCGGGGGGGGGGGGGGGGGGGGAACTTGGCTCATATAAACCCGTTCACTTTGTTTCACAAAGATGTGCAGGCCTTTTTGTGTGGGCTGTTGGCCCAAGCCACACGAAAGCTTGACCTGATAATCGAACACTCAAGTGCTGCACGAAATGTACTGCATGTGCGTCATGACAGCGCTACCTTGTGTGCGCAGATAGAGCAAGTCCGTTAGTCATCGTCCCCGTGAGGGGCGACAGCACAGAAAGTAAACTAAGTAAATGGTACATGTCGGAGATTGACGATGTCAGCGAGTCTGACGAGAACCACGTCGTTTTTGCTGAAGAGCCTGTCAGATTGAGGAGCGGTCAAAGGCGGACATCGAGAAAGTTCAGTACGAAGACTGAGGCTTTGCTACGTCGAAAACGTGAGCAATGGAGTGCAACAAGGCGGATATTCGCCCTGTGGCATTCGTACTTGCTACTGATTGCGGCGTGTGCAATTGCATGCTCTGTGCTGGTGGTCATACTGTTCTGGCATGTGGATTGGTACGAAAGATACAGAGAAAGCGGCGACATTGTGGAGTTCCAGTTACACTTTCTGGCCACCTTCATTAAAAGTTGGTTGCTCGTAAATCTGAGTAGTGAGATGTTGCGATTTTGTTATCTACTGGCCGTGGACAGTTGGCGTGCCTGGGACACTGATTGCAGCATGATTTTTCGCAGAATAAGCAGATCCTGCTTAGATCAGTTTCGCCATGCCATAATGCAAATCGTTGGTTCACGGGCAGCACTAAATGGAAATTGAATGGAAGCGCTGTAGAGTGGGTACTTGGCGGTTCGTTCCTCAGTCAGCCAATTGAGTAAGGTGACGACGTCTTTGAAGCATACCGACGAGCATTGTGCTTCGCCTCTTTTGCGGAAATTGCTGCCGGAACGTTCTACGTTTGCGGTTGGCCTCAGCCCATGGGTAACTGGCGAAGGCTGCTTGGACCTATCTAACCCTGCTGGATCTCAGCACGGGTGTCCTGCATGTTGAGGGTCACACTACAGAAATAGCATCACCGGCTTGCTTCTCAGGCGCGCGGACGTTGTGTTTCAATTGACCATCTATGCAACTCTGGACATTTTGCCAATCGTCACTTTTGCTATGAATTTTGCGAGTTGGAGGACCGAGCTCACACATGGCTGTGGTTTGTTTGATTGGCAGCCATGGACGACATTTTGACCTCAGGATCCACTATGCGTTGGCCAGCTTGGTCCTGGTTCTTGCATGTTTACACGTGTTGCTTTTCCTCATGGCTTGGACGCTGAGCCAGGTGACCGCAATTGTTGTTCTGAGTTCTGAGCTGTTCCATGCCAGCTTTCACTGCTGCGCCAGAATCCGTCAAGGCAACGCTGCCATGAAGTTCAAAGCATTTCGGGCTGCGTGGAATCTCAGTTTGCCAATAGCTATTTCAACTGTTTGGTTTTACATTCTCCAGCACACTGATTTAGTTGAAAGTGCGGGAAGGAAGAGTAACGTCGTCCGTGTCTCTCGACTGGGCACTGCCACGCGCATCTTGCCTATTGGACGCCGCTCAGACGAAACGATGCCATTGCTCCACTGCTCTCTGTATTGCCCTTGTCCTGCTATGACACCCCACCCCCTGAAACCAAACTAGCAAATGACAGCCCAGAATGCTCTTCTGCACATGCCCCCCATCAGGCCTGACGCGTGATGGCACACCTGCATCAGTGTTGCCAGACAGGGTGCTTGAGAGCACGGTCATGGCTGAAGAAGTTGACACAGATTCAGATTCAAGCGATGAAGACAGTGAAGAGGAAGAAGAAGAGGACAGCTGTGCCGCACAAGGGTGCGATGGTCTCACGGTGTGTTTGCAGCTGGTTTGCGGCGTGCTGGAATTTCCTTGCTGGTGCCAGGCTTCCACTCAAGCTTGTGAAAACACTAGAATGTTCACAGGAGCTGCCAGATCGCAACCATGTTCTGATCAACGAGCATCTGGTCAGGAAAGCCGACGCTCAGCTCACACTTTGGGGCGGGCTTGCGCAAGGATCCGCTAATTGCCGGCAGCGTGCCCCAGGAGCAGCTAGCAGTCATGAGTGGGGACACACCAATTGACGTCTGCCCCTTCGGTTGCAATTCGTCAAAACTGTTCGGATATGTCGGGGCTGGCCGGAAGATGCAAAATCCTGCCTTCTTGCCAGGCGTACCTTTGTGTATGGCATATCGTGCATTGTGCAACATCTTCCCTTTACTGCTGGCCATGACTGCGACACTCTTCGGACTGGTGGCAAGCAAACCTCCCGTCGCTGTGATCGGGGCGATTGCGGTTTGCATGGTCCTCACCCTCGCACACATAGGCCCCAATGGGCCCCTGATGCTTGCGAAGCTCGCGATTGTTGCGAAGGTGTGTTGTTCTCAGCCGCACATGTCCAGGCACACCGGTGATTCGCCCAAGGTGGTCTCAGTCATTTTGTGAATCAGAGACTCGCCTCCGGCACCTAGAGGAGTGGGGTGCCCCTCGGCCGCAAGGCAGCTGTTTGCACTTCCGGCTGGTTGTGCATTTTCCCCTGCGCCTTGTGCTGTTTCTTTTTTGCGGGTGTTTCTGGTGCTCTTCTCAGGAAGTGTTCTGCTTCTTGGCTTCAAAACGCGCAGATTAGCAGAGCAGAAAGCGGGGTTGGCAGTTGAAGGAGATGCAGAATTCTGAGGCGGACTGAAGTACATGTCGCAGCTAAGAGCACGAGCTCCTTTGTGCATCATGGCCCCTTTGGCTGCACAGAGCTATACCAAACGACAGGTAGCTCTCACACTCGTTCAGGCCGCCGTGCCGAAGCTTGATGTGACTAGGAACAAGGGTCAGGCCACGATTCCGGCAACTGATAAGGTCTTCTTCATGGGTGTTCTGGCTGGCTCCCTGAACTGGTGGTATTCCATGTGGTGCTGCTCGTTTATCCTGCTAGTGTCTCGGTCGATTCCAGCAGCTGTCGGAGACACGGACACAACGAAGAGCAAAGAGAGGCGACCCCCTGCAGGAGGGGAGGGAATGGAAGAATGAAAGAATGAATGAAGTAAAGAAAGAAAAAAGAAAGAAAGAAAGAAAGAAAGAAAGAAAGAGAGCAAAGAAATAAAGAAATAAATAGAGAAAAGACGAAAGAGCAAAAGAAATAAAGAAATGAATCAGCAAGTAAAGAAAAGAAAGCAAAAACAAGCAAGAAGGACATAGAGACAGGGAGAGTGAGAGTGAGAGAGAGAGAGAGAGAGAGAGAGAGAGAGAGTGGATGTGAGGGGGCCACGTCTTCCTCTGAGAGCGTTTCAGTCCTGAGTAGTCTCCAACAACCCAAGGGGCCTTCAAAGTACGACAGGGACAGGGACAGGGACAGGGACAGGGACAGGGACAGGGACAGGGACAGGGACAGGGACAGGGACAGGGACAGGGACAGGGACAGGGACAGGGACAGGGACAGGGACAGGCTCTGGGACAGGGACAGGGACAGGGACAGGGACAGGGACAGGGACAGGGACAGGGACAGGGACAGGGACAGGCTCTGGGACAGGCTCTGGGACAGGCTCTGGGAGAGGCTGGAAGCGCAGCTGCGCTGACAAGTGCGGCACAACTTCGGATGAACACCGTCCCGTTCTTTAGACCGGGGGCCCAGCCCCCACACCTAAGCACGGACCGAACGGGTCCGCGCGGAGACCTTTGACAGACACATGTTACTCCAAGCATGGACCGACATGGAACACCGGTGGCGGACTGCGGAGACCGACCACCAGCATGCGGAGCACGACAGTGGGGGACAGTGGGAGGTGGAGTATGGCGAGGAGGGGGTCTTTGAGATCCATTTGGTGAGCAGGAGTGTGCACGAGGGTGGCATCTGAGAGGGGCCCTTTCTCTGATATGGGTGCCGGCTCTTTCGGGCCAGCTCGGCCGGGGCTGCCCCTCGGGGGGGGGGCCTCTTCGCTGTGTAGAAAAGAATAGAAGGGAGTGGAGAGCGAGAGAGAGAAAGCCCGATGGGCGGCCCCTCCCCATTGGGGTCAAGTGCGCAGAAAGAAAGAACGAAGATGATATAAGAAAGCACAAAGAAGAGGAGGAAGAAGAAGAAGAGGAGAGACAGAGAGAGGGAGCTACGCGTACACGAACGAATGAAGCAAGGAAGGAAGCAAGGAGGGAGTCAGGGAGAGAGAGAGAGAGAGAGAGAGAGAGAGAGAGAGAGTCTGTGACCGTAGCCATTTTGGCTCAAGCCACGAGTGCTCAAGCCCCACCCCACCGTCCAGTGGGCTCCAACCTGAGAGGGGTGAGAGTGAAAAGTTGAGAGAGGGAAGGGGCAGCCACTGCACAAGAACAGTGCCCCGGGGGGAAGCCATACAAGCTGATCGTCAAGATCGAAACACTACGCGCCTACACCAAGGGGGTTCGGTACGAGGACATAGTAAAGGGCGAAGCAGTACGGGACCGGCGCTGGCGAAGGAGGACTCCTACAACCGCTGAGGTGTGAGAGGGAGTGTGTGACCTGCTACGTGAAAGATATCGGGCGGGCCTACAGGGGGAGTACCAGACTGTGACGACGGAACTCGTCGCCTACTCCGCCAGGGAGTTTGTGAACGGGAAGTGCGTGATAGTGGCAAGGACATCGAGAATGCATACCACACAGCACAGGCAGAGGGAGGAAATGTCCCCCCATGGGAAAAGAAAAGCGGGGGAAGAGGACCTTGGGGAGAGCCTGTCAGCCAGAGAGACGGTCGAACTCATCAGGCAGACCATAAAGGGGGAACTTCAGGTGGTCTCCGAGGTCAAAGCAGCGATGGATCATGTCAAGCAGCGTGTGGACTGCGTGGAAGCGGAGGTGACAAAACAGATGGGAGGGACGATGCAGATCCTGAACAAGATCACGGACAAGCAGGATGCTCAGGGCAAGCACATTGCGCAGCTCCGTGACGACCAAGAAGGCCTGGTAAACCGCATCGAACTATTGGAGGGGAAGATGGCCAGTTTTTCGCCGGCAGGGTCTACAGCAAGCACGGAAGGCGGGGAAAAGACACCAGCGATTATCATGGGAGGATGGCCGGAGGACCAACAAGCCTCTGTGACGTTAGAAAAAGCAAAGGAAATGGTCCGAAGGCTGAGGATCAATATCAACATGGAGCGTGCCTTCGTCCCCGGAGTGAGGAGGGGGTATGTCATAGTACCATACGGGCCACAAGGAGGAGAAACACCAGAACAAATGAGGACGAGAATCAGAGAAAGCCTCACCAAAGCCAAGGAAGCCAACGTCAAGCTGGGGACCAGAGCCAATGGAGAAGCGCAAAACTTCTGGATGAGCATCTCGCAGTCACCGGAAAGGAGAAAACGAGCTGCGTTTGCAGCCAAAGTCAAGCGGCTCATTTTGGAAAAAGGGAGGAACAAGTCGCTCCTGGAAGTGGAATGGCAATCAGGGACGGTATGGTATGAGGATAGACGAGTGGCGTCAGCATTCACTCGTAAGCCGCAAGGAGCCCAAGAGCACTGGGCGGGGTGGATCTCGCTGGAAGCCATAGGAGAGAGCCTGGCAATGCCGGAGAACCAGGTGAAGGAGAGGTGGGAGGCCTTGAGCGCCACCCTCAAATGACAAGACAGCGGGGAAGAGTTTCACCCCCCGGGGAATAGTCCGGGGGAAGAGCCGATCATTGAGACCAAGACGGCCCTGATGATCACCTGGAATGTGGGCGGGCTGACGCCGCAAAAAGTGGCAGAAGTAATGCGCGCAGTCCGGGACAGTGCTGGTACAATTCTCAAGGAAGTGTACGACTGCAGTATCGTGTTCCTCCAAGACGTCACGGCAGACGTGGGAGTCCAACACCACCATATAGACGGGTGGCACATGATCGTTGGAAAAGGAGAAGGGGATTGGAGAGGAGTGGCCATAGTCTACCGAGAGGGCATGGGCACGTACGCCGATACGGTTAGCGCCAAAGCCGCCGTGGCCACCACACTAACAAATGCTGATGGAAGATTCTCTCTACGCTTGGTGTCAATCCACATCCCTCACCATGCCACCAACGCAGAGACGGAGCAGATACTGGAGGGCCTGCAGATGGAAAAGCACAGAGGAAAATTCGCGATAGGGATGGATGCCAACGAAACCTTCGTCGTGGGAGCAAGAGGACACAGAGCAAAGACGAACAGAGGAGAGATCATACTCAATTGGATAACCAAACAAGGGGGGAAACTCCCAGAGCAGAGTATGCAACAGGCCAGTTTCTACCCCTACAACACCGCCCAAACCCCAAGGAGACTGGACTACATAGTCACCAAAGGGCTGGTCGACTACGGAAGAGGAATGGTGGAGAGCATGCGGGACATCGCCATGTCGGACCACGAACCTGTGGTGCTGCCCTTCCCCTGGGGGGGAAAAAGAACTAGAGGCCCGACACCATGGAGCCCCAGGAGACTCAAAGAGGAAGATAAAGTAGAAGAAGCATTGACACGACCATGGGGAGGGCATCCGGAATTGGCTATAGCGAACGTAGCCAAAGATATCACCATTCCGGGAAAAGCAAAAATGAGTTTCGAGGAAAGCCAGGAACTCAAACAATTGAGGAGAGAGGCCAGGCGGCAGCCACCAGGAGGGGAAAGACGCAAACAATGGAAAGACGTCTACCGTTTGCAGAAAAAGGAAAGAAGACAATGGCAGAGGGACCTTCAGGAACAAGCAGTGCAGGGAAACTGGCTGGCAGCCAGGTCTCTGGAGCAGAGGCCAACGGTGAAATGGGAACACCGACTACTGGATGACCCGAATTGGAGGGAAAAGCTACAGGAACATTTCGAGGGCATCTTCTGCAAAAAGAGCCGGGAAGAGGTAGATGAGGCCCTCAACAAAATCCGATGGAGATTGACGCTCAAGTGCAAACATACAGTGTGGACGCCGTTCGACGTGGAGGAACTACGGATGGCAGCAGCAAACTGGAGTCGGGGAAAGAGTACGGGGCCAGATGGCATCAGCCATGAGGCGCTTCTGAGAATGCTGGATTCAGCAGATTGGAGGACAGTGATCCTGTGGACTCTCAACGACTACTTCTACAAGGGGGAAATACCAGCCAACACAGGAAAAGGAGCGACGATCCTGCTGCCCAAAATAACAGCCCCCACAACATGGGGAGACACGCGTCCCATCACCCTAAGCTCCTCAATGCTGAAGTGGCTATCGCAGCTGCTGCTATTGAGGGCAGGGGAGGCATTAGACAGCAACCTCCCCTACCAATGGGCGAGAAGGGGGAAACAAGCCACAGAATTGCTGTTTCTGGTGAGAAGACTGGTCAGAATGGCCCGGGATTGGGGCATCGAGTTTTGGATAGCCAAAATCGATGTCAAGAAGGCATTCGACTCGGTGTGGCAAGAATCCTTGGCAGAAGTGGTCGAAAGGAGGATCGGGGAGAGCATCAACCGGCCCTGGGAAGCTCGGGTATGGTTGGCATTGTTGGGGGCGAGAGAAATTGAGATCCAGACGGATGGAGGAGAACAGGTCGTGGCACAAAGTAATGGTGTCAGACAGGGGTCACCCGACAGCCCCAAACTCTTCGCCACCCTTATAGGGGAAGTTCTCAACACAGTCTTTGCAAAAGACAAGCCCAAGGAGGAATCCAAGGTGCCGGTCCCACACCCAGGAGCATCCTTTATGGATGACACATACCTCTGGGCAGAAAAACCCGATACCCTGCAGTACTACCTGGGGGAGACAGAGAAAGAATTGAAGAAGGACGGATTGGAGATCAACCAAAAGACCATGATCATCTGCACGCACGCGACGACCAGATGCTTCCAGATAGGAGGAGGAAAGATAGCTGCCCAGGGGCCAGAGGCCGTCATGAACGTCCTCGGAGCACCTGTCAGTTTTGACATGGGACCGGCAGTCTTGGCGGCCGAAATGGCGAACAGAGCCAGAAGAGCCTTTCACAGCAGGAAACGAATCCTGCGAGCAAATG